TTCCTGTCTGAATCCATGATAATAATGTCCATACTGTCTAGAAGATCAGTTGCATGCTAGCGTTTCTTTGTTCCCGTGATGTTCCAGAATTCAATCAAGTAGGTCTAATAAGTAGTATTATCCATCTAGTATTCGTGAGGAAAACGACTGACGCTGTGATGGCTAGTACTCCTAGCTAGTTTCGATCATATGTACTGACGCTGTGATGATGATAATGTCCATACTCCTAGCTGTCGTCCAGCCCTCTAGATTCGATCATACGTACTTGCACACGTAAGTCTCACTAGTTTCTTTCAGTGCAACCCGTTTATTATATTCACTCTCTAGAGAAGCAACAGAGGATAGGGACGAACGTTTCCTCTCTTAGTCTTAGCAACATCTTTATTGTTGGCGAATTTGCGCCACAGGACACTAGGTACACGCAACCAGCAAATTGATTTTGCTAGCTTCGGCCGGTGTTTTGTGTGGTGCATCTTATCCACAAGCACGTGCCCGCGCGCCAAGAAACCACAGGCATCAACTGCAGATAAAAACAGAAGTAGAAAAAACATGTGATGCCAACGGAACGCACACCAATCACTGGCCGGCAACTCGCTCGCCCGTGCCGCCGTGCGGTGCCTACTACCACTGCTACTTATGTCGCGCTCGCTCTCTCACCAAGCACACACTGCACAACTGTGGCCTTGTGGTTGTCAACTTGAAAGGAAACGATATGGACGACGGCGTTGCAGCAGCTTTGCCATCACCGTGGAGCCTGCTCCAGGGCCTCCTTGCCCTGCTGATCGTGTTGGGGAGCTACCGGGCCGCGGAGACATTCTGGCTGCGGCCGCGGCGGCTCGACCGGGCGCTCCGGGCACAGGGGCTCACCGGTACTGAGTACTGCTTCCCGGCCGGCGACGTCAAGGAGAACGCCAGGCTCAACAACGATGCAAGATCAAGGTCTATGCCGCCGTGCCATGACGTTGTTCCCCGTGTGATGCCGCATCTCTTCAACACTGTCAAGAAGCACGGTATGTCGAACTTTCTTCTCGCCTGTGCTGCCCCCCCCCCCCCTCTCTGAACTCATTCGCGCACTCATCTGACTCACACACCCTCCTCCTCCGTTGCCCCCTCCCTCGCGCTTCCATCGTCAGCGATTGGCGGCTAGCTCCTTCCATTTCGCCGCGCCACCCACCTCCTGCCCCCTCTCCCCCCTCGTGACCCCACCCTCCCCTAATCACTAGGTTGCAAGCGACCACTCCACAGCGATGCCTCCACCGTCATCCCCGTCCAACCGCTATCTCAACTGCCACCATCGCCGTGTGACGTCCACCGCCCCACAAACCCCCTTCTACAGCCGCAGGTAGGTAGGTCCTCTAACTCCTAAGCTCTAACACCGGCGACTGGTCACGTAGTAGATTTTGCATTTCTCTAGCCCATCAGCAGTTTAGTAGTATTTGCATAAGACCTTTCGGACAACGAATGGTCATATCGAATTTGTTGAATGTTTGCTTCTGATCCGACGTGAACATTGAGGTTGACGTCGCTTGACTAGCTAGTGTTGTGAATTATTGGCCACCCGACAGTCTTGTTCACATGGCAAGTTAATTCTTCCCTAGGGCATCTCACCTGTCACCGGACCTATGGCAAGTTTAATTTGTTCCATGTTATATTTCAATTTTTTCATCCCATTTGTAAAACAATATTCTTACGCAAATATAATTTCAATTATCTATATTTTTAAAACATGTTCTATAATATTTTTGTTTGTTTCATTTGCAAAACATTATTGTCCCGCTTGTACAAACTCAGTTATAATAACCGTACAAATTTTTACTTCAAAGTGTATATAAAGGTCTAATGAATTTGTGTTAATAATATTTGCCCATGATTTATAACCTTGTGTACGGCACGATGTTTTGTTCTGGGCGTGTTACGCTTTTTATTCCACGAGTTTGCATGATTTTACTAGGCATAGAATTTTTTTGTTCTTCCTACACAAATTGTTGTTTCACCAAATAAACTTTTCTGGGGGTGCCTATGTGCCGACCCTGATGACAGCGTGCACCGCGCCGACCACCTAAAAAATAATTTTCTCGTCCACCTTTTTCACCTTCTGCGCCCCCATCGGCACTTCTGCGCCACCACACATGACCCAATTCCAGAATCAGCGCATCCCCGCATGGGGTTGCACACAGATTGTTGAACTGGTCTTTTCTATATGCATGCACTTGCCTAGGAAAGCGAGCCAGATATTTGTATAAAGTTTTAAAAAGCTATAGTTGCTAAACTAAGAATCAAAATTAAATTTTGATTTCACCATTGTGTTTGTTACAATAAATCCTTTAAAACAAGACCCCTCATAAATATATTTAGATAAAATTTTATTAACAAATATTTATGCTACGAAGATAGAATATTTTTATTTTATTGAGAAGAGGGCGATGTTCTAGATCTTAAGATAAGATGTTCCACATTTATAAGACAAATGTTCTAAGTTCAGAAAAACAATGTTTCATATTTAGGATAAAAGCATTCTAGAAAAATGGTATTATAATATCCATGATAATAAAGAAAAGATGAATAACAAGAGCTATACACATGTATAAAAATAGATAAATAACATAAATAGAAGCAAAAATAATAAAAAGATGGAACAAAGCATAAGTAAGGAAAACAAAAGGGAATAAAAATATAGAAAATAGAAGAGTAGGAAAAAAAACATAAGACAAAGGAAAGAAAGGTAATGTAAACTACATCAAATAACTTAAGTCTGAGAAAATATATCACATGGATATTACTTGAACAACTAAATATATCATACAACATCTCCCAAATATTGTGTGAATACTTAAAGATAATCATAGAACATTAAACTTATACTGTGTGACCATTCAAAAATATATCGTAGAACATCACATGTATACTACACGAACATCATATCTATCTTATACAAATATAGAAATTGAAAGAGTGAATCCATAATAGGGAACACAAACAAAGGAAAAAGATAAGAAAAAGAAAAGAAAGGCCATGTATCCTTTGCAAATAAAAATACGAAAGAAAGAATGAAATAAAAAAAATATAGTATAGAACATCACATGTATACTACATAACATCACATTTATACTACGCAAACATTACAAAATATAGCATAGAACATCACATGTATATTATTGAACATCACAAATACATCCAAGAACATCACACTATACTACGCGAACATTACAAAATATAGCATAGAACATCACATATATCATTAAATGTAAACAATAAAAAGTGAAAAAAAATTAGTGAAGTAATTAGTTACTCAAATAACAAAAAACAAAGACTGCAAATTAAAAACACGAATAACAAATGCTAATTAAATAGAAAAATTTAAAACTTAAATAAGGAATAGAAAATATAAAAGTCAGCATACATCAATGCGGTGGTTAACGGGTCAATCATGCCGATTGTTTATACAGGCTCTACCCATCCTACCCGTCGTGCCACATCAATGGCCCACGCACAACATGGGATATCGGGCCGTGCGAGTCGAGGCATGACCTGGATATATATAGGTCGTGCCGTGCTTTGGACCATGCTTACATGGTGCTGTGTCCGGGCTGCCTACTTCATCTGGGAGGTTTTGGATTTGTGTCACCCTCTTAGATCTGACTTGTCGCTATTTTCATGTTTAAGTAAACAAATTCAGATAGTCCTTGTCATGCTCATTTTCCTAAATTTGTCCATTCCCACAGAATGGAAAGTTCCCTAAATTTTATAGGTTGAATTGAAAGTTTCGTAGCTTTAACTGCACATGCAAACGCTGAACTGCAGGCGACATTTGTATCACCTGGTTCGGACCAATTCCCAGGGTGGTTATCACGGAGGCAGAGTTAATCAGAGACATCCTATCAAACAAGTTTGGCCACTTCGAGAAGTTCAACATCAACAAGCGTCTTCTAAAAATGCTCGCCCTTGGGATTGCGAGTTACGACGGTGAGAAATGGGCAAAACACAGAAGGATCGTGAACCCCGCATTCCATCTCGAAAAGCTCAAGGTTCTCTAGCTAACTTCCTTCATACAGGAAATCAGCTTCAGTTACGTTATGCATGGTCTCAAGCATATAGATATGTGTGCTTACAAGTTTTTTTTTCAGCGCATGCTGCCAGCATTCTTGACGTGTTGTACCGAGCTTATAGATCGCTGGGAGAACAAGCTCGTTGTTTCTGACGGATCATATGAACTGGATGTCTGGCCGGAGTTTCAGAACCTCACTGGAGACGTGATCTCCCGCACGGCATTCGGCAGCAGCTTCATGGAAGGGCGGAGGATCTTCCAACTTCAGGGCGAGCAAGCAGAGCGGCTAGTCAAGGCCTTCCAGTATATGTACATCCCAGGCTTCATGTAAGAACTTTCTGATCTATCACATAGTACAGTAATTCTAGTACATTAATGGTCATCACATTCATTCATATGCGTGCGCTCATGCCGTTATTAATATAATCCCTTATATATATATGCAGGTTCTTCCCGACACAGAACAATCGGAGGATGAACGAGATCAACACGGAGGTCGAAGGGATTCTAAGGGGCATGATCGAGAAGAGGGAGCGAGCAATCGAGAACGGCGAAGCCAGCAGCAACGACTTGCTCGGCGTGCTGCTACAGTCGAACATGGAGAGCGGGAAAGGCAGCCTGAGGATGAGCACGGAGGACGTGATTGAAGAGTGCAAGCTCTTCTACTTCGCGGGGATGGAAACCACGTCGGTGCTGCTCACGTGGACGCTCGTCATCCTAGGCATGCACCCTGAGTGGCAGGACCGCGCGAGGGAGGAGGTCCTCAGCGTGTTCGGCAGGGACAAGCAGCCCAATTTCGACGGCCTAAGTCGACTCAAAACGGCAAGTGTTTTTTTTTTTGCAATACCTCTATTATTACATAGTACATATAGTGCAAACACATGTATGCATGTTTGTTTCAAGCCCATTCCACATTATGTTACCTGCTAACGTTGTCAATGTGCTATATATCTAGGTGACGATGATACTATACGAGGTGTTGAGGTTGTACCCGCCGGCGGTGAGTCTAAACCGAAGAACATTCAAAGACATGCAAATTGGAGGCATCACATACCCTGCAGGGGTAATCCTCGAGCTTCCCATAATTGTCGTCCACCACAATCCTGATGTTTGGGGGAATGACGCACACGAGTTCAAGCCAGAGAGATTCGCTGAGGGGATCTCAAAGGCGACCAAGGATGACCAACCGGCGTTCTTCCCGTTCGGGTGGGGGCCGAGGATCTGCATCGGGCAGAACTTTGCGCTGCTTGAGGCCAAGTTGGCCTTGAGCATGATCCTCCAGCGCTTCGAGTTCCGACTGTCCCCTTCGTACACACATGCACCGTACACTATCCTTATGCTGCATCCTCAGCATGGCGCGCCAATTATATTCAACAAGATCTGATCGTCTTATATGACATCGTCTATCATTGTCAATGAGTATGTCACAGTGCAAAAATAATGGACTCTTATGAGTAATATTGTATTAGGGAGTCTAGTTTTGTGTATCTGATTTTGAAGGTGGAACGAAAAACGAAGGGAGATATATTGGGCTGTTTGGTAGCGCTTCGCGAGCATTTGAAAAGTTAGAGACTTCGGGTTTTTTTTTTTTTTTTTTTTTTGCTGTGCACTAGGATGATGCTAAATTGACCACATTCGCAAATCTTGTAAGTACTTAATTTCGCTCTACCTGACAGATTCCATTTGTTTGATAGCTCTTTGTTTTGTTATTTCGAAACTTATATGTGCACTGTTTGATTTGCCACTCAGTCATCAGCACCTGAAGCTTGGAGGAAGGCTAATGACTGAATAGGTTTATAAAAATGCAAAAGGATGTTGTGTGTGTACTGCTGATGTATGACTGACGAGGAGGGAGGAGGCTCCCGGTTTCTGCAGTTTAAACCTTTAGGCGAATCGCTAGTGAGGTCTCACGGGACCAGAACATATCAGTGAAAACCTAGCCAAAAACACCCTGGAGCTTCAGCCTCGCGCTGGATTACTGAAACATTTAAACTGTATCCTGATAGTGATGCATCTGGAGCTAACAGGTGTTTTCCTGAGCAGCATGAGGAGGTTCAGTCTTTCTATCTGTTGGTGGCATGCTGATTGCTGAATCTGTAAACGTTTAGGGGTCTAGCTCTCTGTCTCTTTGCAGATCTCTGTTACTATCTGCAGATAATATTTCATAATGTCTGCACATGGTATTGTATGGTTGTTAGAATGCAATTCTAATAGTGTGCGTGTGTGACAACGTGATCTGATCATAACACACGACTTACGTCGCTAGCTTTTCAAAGCTAAAATGATCAGGTTTTGTTCTTTTCTGTTGCTAAAATACTGGATCTCTATATAGTATCTACATTTGGCTACCAGTATTCCCTGTTCGTTTCGCTGAAATTGAGCTTATGCTGATGCTGCCTGTTCGCTGATTTGTTGTGAGAGAAAAACACTGTACAATGGCTGATAAGCCGTACAGATAAGCTCAAGCGAATAGGGTTGAATCATATGCAATCAAATTTATATAAATGTGTAGTATGCAGTCAAACAGTTTGTGAATGCAAGAATTGAGTATGTATGAAAAAAAGAAGCATTGTGTTCTTCAGACCCAAATGTACCGGTGCAATGCTAACTAGCAAAAACTTATGGGGGCAGCCTGAAAATCATTGGCGAAGTTGCTGGAAGAGGATGGTGATTTTAATGTGGCAGTCCGGCACGTTTTCAGTTTCCTGCAACAATCCAGATTAACATCGGCGAATATGGTATTCCTCTGGAATTCGAATCCATTTTCGGTAGTAATTATTTGGTGCAAGTGTGGTTGTTCACTGGTGGAACTGTGTATAATAAATTAGTTATGTTTGTGTTAATGAATAACTTCTTTCCATGCCATTGAAAATTTGGTATTCCCTTGATGACTCAATGATACAGATCATTCATACATCAATGACATATACAGGAACCATCAAATTGGCGTGCCTATTCATTCATCAAAGATCATCAAGAGTGGAAATTCAATACCTCATCCTCAACCCTGAAACCATTGAGAAAATAGGCACACTAACGTCGACATGGAATAGCAGTACACTTACTACAGATTTTGCTGCAACACTAACAAGGTTATGAACTATGATATTGATTGCACCTCTAATCTTATGATCTATCCAATAGGCATACAGCAGGCGGCTATCCATCGAGCACTGCTAGCCTGTTTTCTTTGCTAATCAGAGGCCTAGAGTGTAACAGCTTCATGATGCTTGACATGAAAACAGACTGATTGATGGTTCTAACAGGGGCATACACCGCATAGAGCAGCCAGAATTCCCCTGTATTTTTCTGATGTCTGACTTACACGGTTTCCATAAAAAATAACAAAACAAAGGTATAAAAATCCAATATCTGAAACAAATTAAAAAGTAAGCCTATTTGCTGAACGCCAAATTCAGCTTGATAAGATTGGGTGTTATCCAAGTGGGACAAGGACATTTGGACCAAATTTGGGACACAATTTCCTTCTTGACACTATTTTCCAAGTTCATAACTCCCATATCACGAGTGTCATTTTTGTATCCAACAGTCAATTCTTTATGATCATGTAGAGGCACTCGCGCGGAGCGCTGGGATCATGTAGAGGCACTGCAGTCGTCGAGCACGCGCACATGGAGTTTGGAGGCGGAGGGCGAGGCGATGCTGACCGGGTTCAGCAGCAGCTGCAGTCGGTGGGGCAGCTGGCAGCGTATCCTGGCAGAGGATTCCTCCTCTCTGTGGGGGATGGAGGTGCCACAGGGTATGGGGCCGGGCGCCACGGGGGATGGTGGCGGTGGCGCGCCAGAGTGGGCCGCGCACGTGAGATAGAGGCGTCGCGGGGGATGTGGTGGTGGCGCGGCGGAGTGGGGTAGGCCAATGGCCGCATGGCGCGGTGGAGCCGAGATGGTGTGAGGTGGAGTCGGGAATTTTGATTTTTTATGAGAGAGGCAGGCGAGCGTTTTCATTTTTTCAATGCAACATTCTGAGATAGGAAAATTTGAGTTGACCTCCTTCAACTAGTGTAGTCCGATCTGTCTCTCTCAATTGAAAATATGGACTTTTAGCCATCCAATTTACCTCCCAGATTTTGAAGCTACGACATGTTCTATTTGGTGTCACATCAGCATGAAGGAGGTAAATCGGACTTTCATGATAGTTCATATCAATTAGATTTTATTAAAAAATTATAAAAATAATATTTCAAAAAATTATCCAAATATTTTTTGAATAAATATATATTGTTAAAAATGCTAAAACCTAATTAATATTAGAAAACTCATAGAAAATTTATTTTAGTTCGGAAAAATATGAAACTACTTTCATATTTAAAAAAAATCATGCTCTACCTTTTTGTTCCATCCCTAGAATTATTTAATCTTATATGGTCTCCTAAAATTTTAAACTGAGCCAAATATGAAACGAGTGATGCAAACCAAGACAAATCCCTGCAAACCGCAGCGTGAAGCACCATGGAACTTCCCATGCAAACGGCAAAAAGCATTTCCTCGTAAGCAATCGACATGTTAAAACAAATTAGCCAACAGTATTTTCAGCCATGACTTATCAGCCAAGTGAACAGGGCAAATCTTGCTTAACCATTGAGACATGTACAATAAATTACAAATAAAAAATATAATTCAAGCTCTGATTGCATATTGAGACATATATCATGTGCTTTTAACTTTATAATTATAATTTATAAAAAATAATTTCAACTTAGCTTGAGCCTTGAGGGCAGGGCGGAGGCAGGTATTTGACAAGCCTTGGCTGTCGCCATACATAAACTTGTATAAAATACTAAATATATGTATTATATTTACCAGTAAATACATAAAATACATACGCCAATACAAGCCAACTAGTATGACACTGTACTCTGTTGGTTGTGGCCTTCTGGACCTTCTGGTGATGCGCTTGTGGCCTGCTAGGCTCCCCTTGATGGGCCTCAATTAACAGAAGTCCAGAACGGAGGTAGCTAATGACGGACAAGATGGAATAGAGACCGAGTCCACGACTGCTCGTCGGCTCCGTCATCCACCTCTTCGTATTCGAATCCGATCAGGGCGTAGAGTGTACAAAGGCAGCGCCGCGAAAACTCGACGCGTACGCGGTGGCCGGCGGACGGCAGCGCGACGACTCGAGCGGTGGCTGGCCGGCGAACGGCGGCGTGGCGTGAGCGTGACGACTTGACGCGGCCGGCGGACGCTGCAAGTGCAACGATGGCACCAAAGAAGAAGAGCAAATACGTGATGAAAGGTATTTTACATTGATCGAGGCTTAGGACTTGATCTTGCTGAAATTAAGATAAAATTTGAAAAGAAAAATAGAAGAATGCCATTGCCAAGGTCTGTTCCCAAATAAAGCTTTATTATGGGTATGTATTTGTTCCAACATCTTGAATAAAAATATACTTCCTATGACTCGATCTCTAGGTTGCTAATTCATGGTTTACCTATGTGTCTATGTTTTGCATATCATCTCTAGGTTGGTCTAGTTAACATAGATGATAAATTGGTGGTCAATCATTTACGTAATCGTCTCGCAAAAAAAAAATCATCTATGTAATCTTCATTTAGTGAGGTATTTTAAGTGCCGATATTTTACTTTTAGATTTCTGTTATATTTCTTAATCGCAAAGTAATAACATATTTAGATAAACATGCCGTAGTTCCTCGCTCTAGCTAGAAAGCCGTTTGTGCGTTAGGGCATCCTCTTGCTCGTATAGTGTTATGTAATAGTGTGTCCTTGCATAGTTGATAGTTACATTATACATGTTTGACCTTTATAAACCCGCCACACCTCTGCCTCCGCCATTTTGAGGGAAAAAATGTATAGCAACTAATAGGATTAAGATCTGAAAAATCAAAATCTAGACTTTTGGCATCTTCACAAGAAACGTAAGAACCACTATAGGTTAAACTAAGGTTTTAACTAACTGCATATTCAAAAAAATAGAGGTGCCTTCCAAAGATCAACAAATTATGAATACATATGAAAAAGCATATGGATTAGTAGATAAGTTTATCACAACTACATAGCCCTGTTCGGCTGATGGTTTCTGCGGCTGATGAGCCGGTTGATGCTGTTTTGTTGTGAGAGAAAAAATATTATACTATGGTTGATAAGCAGTTCAAGCGAACATGGCGAGTATCGATTATGCCAATTGTGGTACAAAATGAATAAAATGAAAAATGTTCAAACTAATATAAGTAATTTTTATATTAGTTATAGGTAATAACATAAATCAACATCTAATGCTTCTGTCATCTAGGGTTCTAGCCCGTGCCCAGCATGTGGGGGACTAGTAGTCAATTAAAAATAGGAAGATAAGATGGCAGTCTGACTTTGCCCTGCTTCGAAGTCAATGCAGTCTTAGAGACAAAC